TTGTCACCTCCGCTGAAGGTCACGGCCAGCATGGAGGCGCACTCCTCGGCGTAGAACGGCTTGTAACCCATCTCATCCACGGCGCCTGGGGAACAGAGAGCAGAGAGCCCCGGGGGGGGGGGGGGCCACTGGCACTTGCTTGGCACTGCAGGAACCAGCTGGATTCCTCCCACCTGGCCTGGCTGGCTCTTTCTCCAGAGGACCAGCATTGCCAGCCAGGGTCCGCCTGCCATGGGGCAGAGCCCCCAAGGGCCCACATGCCTCCCTCCTTTTCTGTGGCTGCAGAGCAAAGCCCAGGCCTCTTTGGGAGAGCCCAGAGACCCACAGCTGGGAGGGAGGGAGGAGCCTTGGAGGGCCAGGAATCCGACTCTGTGCGGGGAGAACATCCTAACCCCTCCCTGCCCCCGAATGCCAGCGGCCTGGCCTCTCCCTGAGCCTTTCCCAGTCCGCTTTTCCAGGCCCGCTGAAATCTCCCTGGGGGCTGACAAGGCTGCTCCCTTCCGGGCCTCTCACTCAAGGCAGCAGCTTTCCCAGCACCTGCCTGGTTTCGGTCTGGCAATGAATCCGGCGTGACGGAAAGGGGAACCGCAAACCTGCTCAGAGGCTCCTCTCCGGATCTTGGGAGGAGAACCGAGAAGCCGCTCAGCCTCTCGAATGGCACAGGGTGCAAACAGCTCCCCAAACCACGGCCAGGTGGGAGAGAACCCGGCCCGGGGAAGGCGAGAGCACAGCGACCCCAGCACTAGCTGCGCCATTACCAATGGTGACTGTGTAGATGGAGTTGGCGTAGCCATCATAGTTGCAGTTGTCGTTGTGATGGCCCCCGTTGCCACTGGCGACCACGAAGATGCTGCCGAAGCCCCTCCGGCCAGCAATCACGCCATGCTGCAGGGCGGCCTGTGGAGGACAAGCGCTTCAGGGGGTGGGGCTGCAAGAAACCCCCCCCCCCCCCGCCCTGCAGACACTGCACCCCTCCCTTCTTCCCAGTTGACAGCCTGGCAGGAAAAGGCCAAGCGGGTGGGAGCTCATTAGCCGCCTGGCCCTGCAGATGCTGGGGCACCCCCGAGGGCCACCCGGGCCCCGTGCTCTGCCTCCCTGCAAGCCCCACGCCTGTGCTCCTTCTTACCTTTCCCAGCTGGTGGGGGCCGTCCACTGTTTTGCCATCGTCATCTGGGCCCCAGCTGCAGAGGAAGAGGCAGAGAGGGGCACTTAAAGGGACGAGGAGAGCAAAGGGCTGGGACTCAGCATGCCCCCCCCCCCCCCGAAGGAGAAGGGCAGGGAACTCCGAGTGAGGCGGGGCTGGGCAGGAGTTTGCTTTCCTCGGAGGTCTGCAGGAGGAGCCAGGAGGGCAAGGGAGCCCACCGCCCAGGGGGAAACAGGAGGGGGAAAGCAGTAACGGAAGCAGGCCAAAATTAAGTACACCGGATAAACGTTCGCAAACCTGCAACTGTAGATGTCGTTGATCTGGTAGTGCTTGTTAAAGGCGATGGCCTCCAGGCTGTCTGTGAGGGGCCCATCCAGCACCCGGATCCCTGCGGGGGAAGAGCCTCCAGGTTACTCGAGTGGGCCTGGGGGTGGGAGGAAGGGGGCAGCCAAGGCTTCTGTTCCCTCCATTGTCACCGGGGCTCTTCCGTTCCAACGGAACACGCAAAGGGAGCACAGGACTTTGTGGGGCTGGAATGAGCAGCTACCACTAAAAATCCAGAGAGGACCGGAGAAACGCTATTTCCTTTAATTTTAGTTAAAGCCGAATATCCTGCAAGTGGTTAGTCTCCGGTTCTGAACAATTTCTGCCCTTTGACAGCTTTAAAGATGAAAAACCTCCCCTCCTGGAGTGGGCTGGGCTGCTCAGGGTGTGACTGACCCCCCCCCCCGCCCCGCCCATTTCTTCTGAGCTGCCCCTGGGAGGCTGCGATCCTCACCTGGCTGGGTCATTTATCTGGCCCACTGCCAAGGAAGCCAGTCTGGCCAGGAAGTGCCAGCCGGGAGGGAAGGGAAGGAGCGCTGCTTCGGTGCAGCTCTCCAGAGGGAGGCTGCCCCCTGGTGGTGGGCATCTCCAGAGCCTTGGCCTGCTCCCATCTGCCCCCCCCCCGCCCCCCCCAAAAAACATCCGGAAGTCGCTTCCAAGGCCATTCCGGTTGTTCTGAAAGAGGCGGGTCTCTGCACACCTTAAGGCCCAAACCAGAAGCTGCGATGGAGACAAGCGGCAGCGTCTTGAGCTGCTTCCTTTGCGTGAGGAGGGGGGACCATCATGTGGCGGAAAGCTCTCAACCCCCCCCCACACACACACACAGACTGGAGAGCAGCCTTTGCAGAGCAGGGTCAGGAGCATCCTCACCCCAACCCTCCATGGCACAACTTCACACACACACACACACACACACACACACACACACCCTCTGGGGGCCTACCACAGGGGAGTTCCGGCCAGAATACTTTGCACTCGGCAGCCTCCCACAGCTCACTTCCAGGCTACCCAGAGCCAAATACTGGGGGTGCCTCCCATAGCACCCCATTGTTGTGGCATTGTCCTGCACACTTCCCAACTGCACTAGGCCCCTCCCCCCCCAGGAAGCCGTGCCCGCGTAAGCAGGGACCCCTCTTTGCAAGACTGGAGGGTGCGAAATGCAGCGTTTGTGTTGGGATTGCAACCTGTAGAACGTCTGGTGACTCCCAAGAATTCAGGCAGGCGACCTTGTAACCCCGACAGCCGCTCTCTGTGGCTTCCCTGTGCCCGTCTGCCCTCTCTCTCTCTCTCCTTGCCAGGATGACCAGAGCGGAGGCAGAGCAGATGAACTGAGCTGCCCTGACAGACTCAACGCAGCCCGAAAGGACCCGCTCCCTTTAGAGGCTGAGAGTGGAAGGGGCTGAGCCTCTTTCTCGGCCCTTCGGGCACCTGGGGGCTGCTCCCCCTCTTCCCCGTCTCCCCAGGTCATTCCCGGCATCCCTCAATACCTGACACCCCCCCCCCCCCCCCCGCAGAACTGGGCAGGAGTAGCACCTGCAATCCGGCTCCCAAAGGCGACGCCCACTGAGCAGAAGCTGTTATTGGAGGCGGCTGCAATTTCCCCGGCACAGCGGGTCCCGTGGTGGTTGCCGTTCTCCTCGTCTGGGTGGGGCATGGGGTCAGGGTCGTTGGAGTTCAAATCATAGCTGCCTTCTGGGCTCTGGGAGAGAGACCAGCCTGAGGCCCCTCCTCTCCTTGGCCCAGGAGGGGCAGGCCAGCCGGTGCCCCCCGCCCCCCGCCTTCAAGCCCCAGGGGACTCCTCCGTCCAGAGGCCCCAGCCGGCCTGGCCCAAACCCAACCGACCGGATCCTCCTCCAAGGGGTGTGAAACAGCCACCCCCCAGTGGCACTACAAGGCCCACCTTGGGGCCAGGCCTTCGGAGAGGAAAGCCAGGGGGCTGCCCCCCATCTCCACCGGGAGGGGAGACCTCCTGGAGAGTCCCCTCCTCTGCCAGCCTCTTTCCCCGCTGAGAAAGGAAAGCGTGAGCCCCGGGAGAGGAACTGCGGGGGGGGGGCGGGGGGGAGAGGGGCAAGCACTCACGTAGTTGGGCTGGATGTCCTTGATGGTGTGTTCAATGCCATCGTCCACCACCACCACCGTCACCCCCTGGCCAGTCACGTTCCGCTCCCAAACACCAGTCACGTTGATGTCCATCCCGGGGCTCTTGCGATTGTCCTGGCCACCAAGGAGAGAGCAAAGGTGGCCGGAAAGGGGGCGGCATCCCCAGTGCCTCCTGGGGGCGGGGGGGCGGGGCGGGCAAGGCCCGTCTCAAAGCCACAGTGCCCGTCAGCCGATCCTTTGCGCCTGCCCCGCATGGCCTGGGACTCCCCTCCCTGGCAAGGGGTGGCCGAGGGGGCTGGAGGAAGGCTGCCTTGGAGGGCAGGACACCCCGGGGAAAGGCCCCCCTCCCTCGCCAGCGCAGCCCCGGGGGCTCCGGAGCCAGAAGCCCCGAGGGCGGCTTACCAGGTGCCACTGCTGGGGGAACTTGGGGTCGTTGAAGTGCAGGGCGCGCTTGGAGCGCTTGAGGAGCCGCTGCGCCGCGTGCCACCCCACGCCCGCGTGCCCAGCGAAGAGCGCCTCGGCCGCCCTCCGCAGCCCCGCGGGGGCCCGGTCGGAGGCGCGGGCAGGCCGGTAGGCCAGGAGGTAGTGGCCCTTCAGCTCCCCGATCCGGCCCACGTTGACCAGGCGGGCCTCCCGGGCCAGGTCATCGGCCAACCGGTCCAGCTCCTCCTCGGGGCCGGTCAGGCGCACGGCCCACGCCAGGGTCTCCGGGCAGCGGGCACCCGAGCAAGGCGGCGCCCCCGCCCGCTGCTCCGTCGCCCCGAAGGCGCCCCATCCGAGGAGCAGCAGCAGCAGCAGCGACGGCAGCACCCGGGCAGGGCAGCGGCGAGCGTCCCCGGCGGCCTCCATCACCGCTCGCCATGGCGGGGCAGCATCGGACCAGCGGCTGCCGGGAGAGAGACGGGGGGGCGTGAGCGGAGTCCCGGGCGGCCAGCTCCGCTCCGGCGGCTCTCCCGGGCCAGCAGGAAGCGGCGCCTGCCCCCGGGGCGCCCAGCCGCAGGACCGGCTCCGGAGGCAGCGCTGCGCCGGGCCGGGCCGCGGGGGCTCCCCGGGCGAGGCGGCTCCCCTCCCGGGCTCAGGCGGGCCGCGACCCTCGGCCCCCGCCCCGCCGAGACGCACCTTCCGCGCGAGCCGGGCGGGATCCGGCGGCGGGGGAGGGTCAGACGTCACGTCCGCTGCCCAATGGGCCCCGCCCTCCCTGCTGGGGGGGGGGGAGGCCAGGGAGGCCGACACCGCTAGGTCCCCCCCCCCTCCTCCCCCTCCTCCGGAGGGCGGAGCCTGCCCGGCTCGCTCTACACCTGCTCGGGAGCCGCCCCTCCCGGCCGACTGGGGGCGCTGCGCGCTTTCCCTGCCGTCGCTCTGGCCGCTCGGCCTCGCGGCGCCGCCCGCCGGCAGGAAGAGCAGGCCGCGTCGAGGCCGCCGCAGGTCGGGCAGGGCGCGGAGTGGCGGGCGAGGGTCCCGCGGCCGGAGGGGCGGGCTGAGCCCCAGACACCGCGTTGGGGTCTCCCGGAGGGGCCGCGGCGTTGCCCCTCGGCCCGGGCGATGGCGTCGGAAGAGGCGGCCATGGCCGAGGTGAAGGCCCCCGCCGATGCGGCCCCCCCCGGCGCCGCCGCCCCCAGGTAGGCCGCTCGAGGCCAGGGCGGAGGGGCCCTGCGGGGAGGGTCGCCGGGGCCCTTCGCGCCCCTCCAGCGCCAGGCGGAGCGCCCGGTGGAAACCGCTTTTGCGGACGCCGAGCGGCCTGCTGGGTCTCTGCGGGGCCGAAGCGCCGCCTTTCCGGGAGACGCCGGGGCTTCAGCGGCGGCCCTGCGGAGCCTCCCCCGAGCCCAAGCGGGGCGTTTGGAAGCGGCCCGAGAGCCCGCCTGCCCCCTGGCTGGGTCTCCGGTTGCAGGAAGGCCAGTCCGGGGCGTTGGGCCTCCTCCCGGGCACCGGCGCCGGCGAGGCCTTTCCCGGGAAGGGGCGCCGGGAGGGTTTGGGATGCCTTCGTAGAAAGTGGACCGACCCTCCCTCTCTCTCTCTGCGACCTCCCTGTCCGCAAAAGCAGCTGCCTCCCCCTGGACGCCGCCCAGCCCAGCCGGCCAAGGGAGTGCCTGGAAGGTGGACTGGAGAGGAATCCCAAAGACCCGGACTCCCGCTCCCCCTCCTCCTCCTCCTCCTCCTCCTCGCCGGTTCCCGACCATCGCAGCCCCCCGGAAGAGCCTGCCTCGCCTGAGGCCGCCGACTTGCCCCCGGCCAGCCCCCCCAGCGAGGAGGCGCCCTCCGTGCCTGAGCTGGCCTCCCCGCCGCCTGGGGAAAGCCTGCCAAGGGCCGCCCCGCTGCTTCTCCAGCCCGAGGCCCTCCGCTGCTCCAAGGCTGAGCTGGGGGCGCTGCTCTTGCAGCACAGCAGAAGGCGGCAGAACGGGTGCCCGGACTTGGAAGACGAGCCTCTGGCAGCCTCTCTGGGCCAGGAAGAGGATGGGGCTGCAAAACCCTCCCAGAACATGGCCGTCCAGGTCAGGGAGTGGGTGCTTGGGTGGACCTTCCTCCCAGGAGGAAGTGGGGCTGGGAGGGGAGGCTCGGGATCCCTGGAGGGCTTGCCCTCAAAGGCAGCCAAGAGATGCCCATGGCCAAGGGTGGGTGGTTTCCTTGCCAATGCGCCAGTCCACGGACTCTGGGTGGCAGAGAAAGAGGCGTTGGGCCCCCTTCTCGGCTTCAGCGAGGGCCGTGATAGAGGACCAGCCAGGACCCAGGCCTTTGTGGTGCCCCTCAGCCAGAGGCTGCTAGGCAGAGCCGGTGGAGTCGGAGAAGGTCGCATTTCCGCCTCCGGCTGCTGGCAGACAAATCCTTTCCTCCCTCTGCAGACTGATTTCAGGACGGCTGACTTGGCAGCCAGCACTGACCTGGACATGGAAAAGAACTTGGTCAGTACGGGACGCTCCCCTTCCGCTGGGGCTGGGACTGAAATAAATGGCCGGTGCTCCCCATGTGGAGAAAGGGGCCTTGTGCGCTCCGCTTGTTGAACTGTTCCCCCTGGCATCCTCCCTGGTCAGGATCTCCTAGCCCAGCCAGGGTGCTTCGGCCGTGCTGGCTTAAGGCTTTGCCTTTTGAAGGTGGCGGCCCAGAGGATTCAAACCTCTCTCTTGCTGCCCGATAGGACAAGATGATGTCCGAGAGAGCTTCGTTGAAGGAGCGATACCAAGAAGTCCTGGACAAGCAGAGGCAGGTGGAGAACCAGCTGCAAGTGCAGCTCCAGCACCTGCAACAGCGCAGGGAAGAAGAGATGAAGAACCACCAGGTGGGCCTGCGGTGGCCAGTCAAGGAGTGCCAGGCTCAAACCGGGAGGGGGGGGGGTGGCGGCACTGGGGAAGGAGGGAGCGATGCTGCTTGGTGGAGAATTTGTGGGGCTTCCGAAACCCCACCTGACACCAGAAACGGAGAGCAGCCGAGAGGGTTGTCAGTTGAAGATTGTGGAGCCCAGGCAAAGCGCCTAGAACTCTGAAACAGTGTTGAGAGTGCTGAGAACGTGTCTCTGCTTGTTTTCTGCCCTAGGAGATCTTGAAGGCCATCCAGGATGTGACCGTTAAGCGGAAAGAAACCAGGAAAAAGATGGAGAAGGAAAAGAAGGAGTTTTTGCAAAAGGAGCAGGACTTGAAGGCAGAAATTGAGAAGCTCTGTGAGAAAGGCCGGAGGTATTTCAGGTTGTCGGCTGCTGGCCTCTTCAGAAAGCCGATACTGAAGGGGGCAGCAGGTGATGGATACAGGCGAGCAGAGCAGGGGGGGGGGCGGGGCTGCACTTGGGCCCCCATTTCTCCCGCAGGCCTTCCGAGTCGGGAATTCAGGAGGGCCACAGCCCCTTGTGGAAGCAGCCCAGGCCAGCGTTCAACCTGCTGGGCCTCCCTTGCACATCTAGTCCAGACCCCACCCTTGGGCGTCCTGTTGCCTAGTGCAGCCGCTCACCCCGGGAGCCGGGAGCCCAAAACGTTCACTGGGCCGCCCTTCTCTCCCTCCCTGCCTCACCTCAGGCTGCTGAAGGAGCAAGAAGAGAAGGAGAGCAAGATCGTCTCGCTGATGGCTGAACAGGCAGAGGAGAAGTAAGCAGGGCGGAGGGGGGTCCCCTCAAACGGAGAGGAGGGGAAGGGACCCGTCCCACTGCTGCCAGCTGGGAAAGCGGCAGGGCCTGGGGGCGGCTCCTCCGGGGCTCCTGGCAGGCCCCTTTGCTCAGCGGGCTCCTTGCTTGCTCTGCAGGGAGGCCTGGGAGGTGGAGCTGGGCAAGCTGAAGAACCAGCAGAGCGACATCAGCCAGTCCATCCTGGAGGAGACGGAGAGGGCCTGGAAAGCAGAGGTGGGGGGGGGGGAGGACTCGGCCCCTCTCCAGATGGTTTTGGCAGCAGCAGCCGTGAGGCTGGTCTGGGGCAGAGGCCCTGGGGGAGGGGGGGGGGGGCACCGTGACTGCGCTTTCCCCGCCCACGCCCGCCAGCGTCCCCCCCTCCTCCCCCCCCCCCCCCCCCAGATCCTGTCTCTGGAGAGCCGGAAGGAGCTGCTGGTGCTGAAGCTGGAAGAGGCCGAGAAAGAAGCGGAGCTGCACCTCACCTACCTCAAGTGAGCTCAGCGGGCAGAGGAGCAGGAGGCCCTCCTGGCAGAAGCCCCTCACGGCCCTGCTCTCCAGGGCGCTTCCGCTGGGACTGCCCCGCACCCCTTCCCCTGCTTCAGGCAGGCCTGGCATCACCCTTGCCCTCCGGTGACTGAGCGGGCGGCCCCTCGCGCAGAGCCCCGGGCTCAAAAGACTCGG